AAAGACAGTTACCCCAGGTATTGTTCATTGTTCCTGACACATTGACAGTTACCCCAGGTATTGTTTCTGATACAAAGACAGTTACCCCAGGTATTGTTTCTGACACAAAGACAGTTACCCCAGGTATTGTTCATTGTTCCTGACACATTGACAGTTACCCCCAGGTATTGTTTCTGATACAAGGACAGTTACCCCAGGTATTGTTCCTGACACAAAGACAGTTACCCCAGGTATTGTTCCTGACACAAAGACAGTTACCCCAGGTATTGTTCCTGACACATCGACAGTTACCCCAGGTATTGTTCCTGACACATCGACAGTTACCCCAGGTATTGTCCCTGACACAAAGACAGATACCACAGGTATTGTTTCTGATACAAAGACAGTTACCCCAGGGTAAAAAGAACCCATGGATGTTTTATAGATTCAAGCAAATCGATGTGATGCTTCTTATCGAGTTATTCTGTCTGTTTGTCTGTTATTGTTTTTAATGCAAATAGTTTACACAAGATATCTAAAGGGGAGTAATTCTGATCGAAATGATTTGCTCTCTAGGTTTTCGGACAGACAAACAGACAGATGTGAAGTAAGATCATTGACAGTTTTTCAGGATCCTGAAAACTTCGACATACTCAGACTTCTTGGATTCAACCTTTGAAATAAGGTAGTTCAAAATCGGGAGAAAACTTCACATGTAAACGTGTTCTCGTGATTTTAAAAAAGGATTGGGGCGGTTTGAAGATTAAGAAACTGATTGGGTGTAAAACATATTGGATGATGTGTGGAACTAACGTCACTGAAAACCAACCACATATGTGTGGCCTCTTGACGGAGGAAAAAAAAAAGAGTTTGTTTGTTTTTAATTTCGCGTAAAGCTACACGAGGGCTATCTGCGCTAGCTGTCCCTAATTTAGCAGTGTAAGACTAGAGGGAAGGCAGCTAGTCATCACCACCCACCGCCAACTCTTGGGCTACTCTTTTACCAACGAACAGTGGGATTGACCATCACATTATAACGCCCCCACGCCTGAAAGGGCGAGCATGTTTGGTGGGACGGGGATTCGAACCCGCGACCCTCAGAGAAAAAAAAAAGAGAGAAAGAGACAGAAAAAGTGCCATGTGACACCGAGCTGACGCTAGGTTTAACTTGATTGGCGTAAGCGTACTTCAAGGATTTAACAGGAAAAGTAGGATTTTCGGGCCTATAACAGGCCCAGTCCTATGAAGACACTGCTATAACTGCCACACCCTGTGCAAGGGGCGGATTAAGGGTCAGACGGGCGTGGGGCAAAATTTTTCTATCGGGACTATTATGATTGTAAATAAATACTAACGTTGGCTAGGTGGTTAGGGCACTCGACTCGCAATCTGCGGGTCGCGGGTTCCAATCACCGTCACACCGAAACATGCTCACCCGGTGTCCGGACTAGGATGCCAGTCCTACTCCCGGATACTCACCTCCAACAGAATGTGGAGGTGTGAGAAACACCATACGAAACTACTACTAATAAGAACGTAACAAAAAAAAAAAAACTACATAACGCCTTTTTTTTTTTTAGCCTGGAGCTTCAGCTCCAGCTTTAATCCGCTCCTGCTCTTTGCACGGCTCTGCTAAACAAGCAAATTTCACAACTGTTATTAACAGAAAATTAATTTAGTAGCGTTGTATTCCACAACGCCACAGCACTGAGCGGGACATTTCGATATGCTTTACAATACAATATTCGTGATGAATTGCGAGCAGTTTTATTGTATCTTTAAGACAGTCAAAGCTACTTTGTTGTAATAATAACACAGTCAATATTGCTTCGTTCTATTATAAACGCAGTTAAAGCTGCTTTATGTATACGTAGGTGACCCGGATGTTCCTTGTATGAATTAGATTCCGCATTAAAACATTTCATACCATCACCAGATATAGAAAAATAAAAATTTTAACAATTTTGTTTTTTCAGATTAACTTTACAAAATCGTATCATCATCAATTTTAGTAATAAACACAGACATGGGTGTGTTATCTTATTGTGTTAACTTTACAGGTTATGGTAACATTTACCCTAAAACAAACGCGGGAAGAGCTGCCACCATCGTATATGCTTTCTTTGGAATTCCCCTGATGCTAATGGTTCTTGCTGATCTTGGAAAATTTTTCACCAGAACCATCAAACTCATCTACAGCTACATTCGACAGTTTTACCACACTGGAGAATGTCGAAGAATTCAGAGAATTGCTCGTAAAGATAAGAACCATCCTACTCAGGTAAGTTGCTACACCAAAATGTTTTATCTCAGATAAAGATGGCAGAGAATCACTCAAAAAACATAAGGACCGTCCTGTTTGGGTAAGTTGTTACACCAGAAAGATGGCAGAGAATCGCTCGAAACATAAGGACCATCCTGTTTGGGTAAGTTGTTACACCAGAAAGATGGCAGAGAATCGCTCGAAAACATAAGGACCATCCTGTTAAAGTAAGTTGTTACACCAGGAAGATGGCAGAGAACTTACACATGTAAGTTGGTTGAAATACACATGTAAGTTGGTTGACATGCGCATGAATAGTTCACGAAAACCCCAAATTGTACTTTCCTCGCTGAAAAATTGAGAAAAAGATAAAAAATATGTATAAATCTGTTTGGGACCTGAAAAGAGTATCTGTGTACTAAATTCCATGTAACTTGGTCGAAACAAGGCTAAGTAACTGACCAAAACCTCTAAACTTATGGGCTTATTTAACCTTTTGATCCTTCCTGAAGTGACCATAAATGGGCATACCCCACATTTTTCTATGTATATGTGGGACCTATAAAAAGTATCTTTGTATCAGATCCCCATGTAAATTGGCCAAAATAATGCATAGAAATCGTCAATAAAACCTAAAATGATGCTTTTTGTGGCGTCTTAACCCTATATAATTAATAAAAATGGGCAAACCCACCATTTTTGTTTATCAATGTGTGGGACTTTTTGTGGCATCTTAACCTCCCTATAATTAATAAAAATGGGCAAGCCCACAATTTTTGTTTGTCAGTGTGTGGGACCTGTAAAAAAGTATCTTTGAACCAAATTCCATGTAAATTGGTCAAAATATGACCAAGTAATTGATCCAAACCCCAAAAAATTATACCTTCTTTTTGTAAGCTCTGACCCCTTCTTAAAAGATTCAAAATAAGCAAATCCAACTTTTTTATGTCAATGTGCTGGGTTTATGAAGATTTATATTTGTGTCATCTTCTTATTGGTTGCAGTATATATATGAACGCACAGAAGTCCAAAATATACAATTTTGGGTTATTATGCCTTTGACCCCATAAAATCCTTAAAAAGGTCTAAATCAAAAAAGTGAACGTATTAGACCAAGGTCTATCCCCACCAAGTTTCAAGTTAATTTGCCTAGAAATGAAAAGTGTTTGGAAGAAGAAACAATAGAAAATGATGTTAGTGTGGTACGGTGTGTCTGTCTGTGGAGATATAATGATCTGTAATGATGTAAGTATGGTACGGTGTGTCTGTCTGTGGCACTTACATCATTACAGATCATTATATCTCCACAGACAGACACACCGTACCATACTTACATCATTACAGATCATTATATCCCCACAGACAGACACACCGTACTAGACTTACATCATTACAGATCATTATATCTTCATTACAGATCATTATATCTCCACAGACAGACACACCGTACCATACTTACATCATTACAGATCATTATATCTCCACATACAGACACACCGTACTACACTTACATCATTACAGATCATTATATCTCCACATACAGACACACCGTACTACACTTACATCATTACAGATCATTATATCTCCACATACAGACACACCGTACTACACTTACATCATTACAGATCATTATATCCCCACAGACAGACACACCGTACCAGACTTACATCATTACAGATCATTATATCCCCACAGACAGACACACCGTACTATGTAAGTGTAGTACGGTGTGTCTGTCTGTGGAGATATAATGATCTGTAATGATGTAAATCTGGTACGGTGTGTCTGTCTGTGGGGATATAATGATCTGTAATGATGTAAATCTGGTACGGTGTGTCTGTCTGTGGGGATATAATGATCTGTAATGATGTAAATCTGGTCAAAATCTTACAAGCAATTATATACTCTCAGGAAGGTTTTGTTTTGGTTAAAGATCATATTTTACACATGATTAATCTTATGTGCACATAAAGGAGTCAAAGTGTGCGTGTCACGACCTTTTACAGAGCGTCATTCAAAGTGGTATATTTGATGGTTCAAGTTGTCAACTATTCATTTTTCCCTAAATTGCTTAATTAACCACAGTTTGTGATGGAGGATACTAAATATCAGATACAATACCCAGGGATACTGAAAAAACTGTAAATATGCGTTTCAAAGGTTCTAGAGGTTGTGCAAGTACAATATGCAAACTGTAAGATGGACAAAAATATTTTTATTCTTCACATGAACATCAACTTGCGCTCTGACTTGTCAGAGCTCGAATCAGACTGACATTGTCAACCCACAGATATATCGTGAGTGCAAACACTTTTATAACACATCTGACTAACAATATTTCACGTAGATGCACGTAATAAATTAAGAATTATAGCCATTATTCCTTCTCCAATGGGCCGAGCCTGTGCACATTCGTTTAAAAACATTTTAATTATCAAACTGGTTATTTAAAGTTCTTTGTTGAAGACTTAGTTTAAATTGCTTTGTTTCTTTTTATTTCAGTATATGACGCTAAAGTTCAACTCCAACAACGAGGCCGTCCCAACTAATCCTAGTTTGGAGTCCAGGTCGTTCGACGAATCAGAGGACAACAGAAATGGTAACGACTCTGCTAGGCATAGAAAACCCGATTCATTCGAGGTTGATGACGAGTTCAACTTGCCAATATCGCTCGGTTTGTTTTTTCTCGTGATTTATATAATGATCGGAGCGTTTATTTTCACACTGTGGGAAAACTGGAGCTTTTTTGAAGCATTCTATTTTGTTTTTATTTCTATGAGTACTATAGGTTTTGGCGACTACGTTCCTGAACATCCCATCTACGTGATGGCTACCTTCATTTACCTTCTCTTTGGTCTAGCCCTTACGTCAATGTGCATTAATGTTGTCCAGGAAAAACTTTCGGCTACTTTCGAAAAGGCCAAAGTCAGACTTGGAACCACAATGGGACTGGATGTGAACAGTCTTCTCCAGAGCAACTTAGCTCCAGAAGTGGCCAAAATGGAATTAGCAGAAGTACACGGTAGACGTAGTTCGAAGGAACATTTGTTTAGGGAAGATATAAACAAGCAAGGCAAAAGCTTAGAAGCAAGAGATCTTTAATGTATGATTGTTTAGGCTAGCGTTTAGGGTTACATGCTGCATATTCTCAAAGAAAAAAAAAACTTGGAAAGTGAGATGTGGGTAAAAGAAATCTGGATAAAGTAGGTTTTCTCTGCCCTATTTGTATATGATTTTACTAAGTGATACATAGACCAGTATTACACTGATTGATCCAAAGAACGATTTACGAGTATCCATTTCTTTTTTTTAACTCAAAGAATTTGAGACAGTTATTCTTTCTAGAATCTTTAACAGCTACATACGCTCGAGAATGTCAAAAAAAGAAGAAAAAATACATATACCTTATTTGCCCGAATATAATGCGCACTTGTTTCTTCCAAATACCCCCCCCCGAAAAATTGGCCATGCATTATTTTCGCGCACGATCAATTTTGTTACGTATTTTACTAGAAGCTACTATTAAAAATCGTTAAAAGTTTCAAGAAATCTTGCGTATTCAATACAATGGATGAGACGGTTGATGACATCCTGTGTGAATCAGAAGAGGATGAAGCAAAGTTTCAAGGATGATTCCGATGGTAGCGACAATTCCAGTGATGAAGAAGATGAATGATTAACATAGTGTATTACCACGTATAAACTTTTCCATAAATTTTGTAAACTTAGCACGTAAAAAAAACCAGTGAAAGATTTCTAAAAATGTTTAATACATCGATAGTTGTTTACTGTATTTAGAAACTATTAAAATCACTTGTCAAAATATAAAATAAAAAAAAAAAAAAAAAAAAATTTTTTTTTTT